ACTTTAAGTCGCAGTTTTTTTTTTTTTCATAGTTTGGCTGGGGGGGCGACTCCTACTCTGGAGCAATTTATGGGGGAAATTCTTAACACATTATTATATAATTTCACATGTTATTTTCACGTTTAACCACAAGAGGCCACTCTAGACCTGTGTGGATAAACCCACGATGAGTCTGACTTAAGCGACGTAGAAGAGGAAGCGCTGCATCTTTTACCTCCGGAGTTGGTGGAGTTGTTTTTAAAGTGACACAGAGGATGAATATTTCATTGCATTTAGTCATTTAGAGTGACATTGATGGTTTGGTGAACTTGTTAGCATGTTCTTTATGCTATAGTTATCTGAATAACTCTTAATATGTTACTTGAACATCCCAGCCATGTTCTCAGTTCGTTGTTTATGCGTCATGTAAGGTGAGCATGTCGTACATTTATTCAGCGTGTTGTTTTCTATTTTATTTTAATTTTAAATTGCCTTTCAAGATGGCATGTATGTTTTTGGTGTTGGATTTTATCAAATAAATAGGTAAGAAAACATTTAATACAGCCTTCAATATACTTTTGTATGATTGCCCTGCACTGAGAGGGCAGACAATCACTGCACCAGTATTTTCAGCATACTGTAAGTGTCTACATTGCATCAAACAAAGACACATTGAAAGAGAATTTGTGAACATTTTCATTCATACTTTCATGGCACCAGTAATTGAGTCAATGTCTAAAGTAATTTTGTATGTACTGTATGAATGATGTTTACATTTGGTCCAAACAAGGCAGCAAAAGATGTTCACAGTGACCCATTTTCAACCAGATTTCAACTGTGAACCAGTGTGTTACAGATGGTGCTAATCTACGTCGAAATGACGTGGTCAAAATCACATATAAAATTGCACATCGATGCTTCTTCGGCGGCATTATTGTTGGGGATTAGTTTTTGAAAAAATGTTAAACATCTTTTAGCCAAGATGGGCAACACATTGAAATTACATAAATATGTATCAACAAGATGTGAAACCAGTAATATGCAAACAAGTTGACTAAATGTCCTAAATAAGTGTGAAATTAACACTTCATCACTTTCCCCTTTCTTGTGCTCACAAATGCCAGGGAAAGCTGAGCTCCCTAGTACAGGATTGTTCATTCTGTGGACTGTGATAAGGTAGTTTGTAGAAGGCAGTGTTTCCCAATCTTTTATTGAGCCAAGGCACATACATCAGGAAAAAAAAAATCCACGGCACGGCACTTGGCTAAACAATTCACAAAAAGTGGATTTACAGGCTAATTATGTATCTTCTGTCATCTTGTGGACGAGCATTTGATTGTTTTTTTGTGTTGCTATTAGTGGTTCCATAGATAAATCAACAAATACCGTTTTTATAAGAAAATTATTATTTGTTGTTAAAAATCATTGGCTAATTTCCCATGACACGCCTGATGATCTCTCGCAGTACACTAATGTGGCATGCCCCGCTGGTGAAGAATTACCAGTGTCATGAATGCCAGCGCACGCTGTGTAAAATGTACCTAGAAACTAACAAAACAATGAAAGGGATCAAAAAGTGTGCTATTTTCAAAGTTGTATATCAATCATCCAGATGTAAATACATTACAGACAGTTGTTGTGACTTTCTGCTCCTCCAATATTATTCGCGAAAGCAAGGCACTTACATTATGCGTTTTATTTCTTTTTTTATTTTGAACAGCAGTTGCCCTTCCTCAAGCGACTCTCCCTTTGATTTGAGATTGGGACCGGCAGCAAGTGCATATTGGAACACCTGCACCGTCTGCATCAGTGATGGAAAATCCAGGTCCAGGAAGTAAAACCTCTGTCATAGTTTTGAGCCACAGGTGCTTCTAATCTTTACTGTGGCAGGGTTTTTATTTTATGCACCTGCATTTCCCATACCTTGTCTGGAGGAAAATAAGCAGCACGTTCCACGACACTACCAGAAACCGATATACAGATATAACTGTAACTAACTGCAATTTTTTTTTTTTTGCTGTCTTGTTCATCTTTTGATGTCAAATTCAAATGATTTACATCTACTAAAAATGTAAAAAGCCTCCCTGTTCTAATATTTAGGGGGAGAGGGTTGGAGGAAAACAATGCTTTGTCTGATTTTACAACACTATGTACATCGACAATCGGCTCACTGTTTTGGGCACGTTTCATTTAAGGGGCCAGGGCAATAGAGCGAAGGAGACCAACAAAACATGTTTGTTCGACCATTAATATTGCATTGTCAAAGAGGGAAAGCAATTTTGAACACCTCAGATTGGTTAATAATGCGTTTAAAGATTTTAATATATATATATGATGGTATTTTTCAGTATAAGCAATTCCAATACAGATAGAAGCTTACTTAGTTTTTTTTCCATCATAGTCTACCAGCACTGTCGCACACTTTTCTCGTCTGTGCACAAGCTTCCATATTCCCTCATCGTAAAAATCTTTGAACTGATATCTCAGCCAGTTGCTCACAACACTTTTGACTTGATCGTCACTTTCAAACTTTGTGCCTCTCGTGAATGCTTTTAAGGCAGCAAACAGATGAAAGTGTGAAGGGGCAAAGTCTGGATTGGAAGGGGGATAAAGGAGCAATTCACAGCCCAGATCATTGATGGTCTGCACCATTTGGGCTGCACTGTGAGGCCCCGCGTTGTCATGATGCAAGATTATTCTTCCTGACTGATGAGCCCTGCGTTTGTTCTTGATGTCTTTCATGACCTGCCTCAGCAGTTCACAGTAGTTGGCACCAAGTTTGAAAATGACAGTCAAAAGTGTAAGGCACCAAGTTTGAAAATGACAAAGTCAAAAGTGTAAGTGACTGGCTGAGGCATCAGTGCAAAGATTTTGACGCTGAGGGAATATGGAAGCTTGTGCACAAATGGGAAAAGTGTGTGACAGTGTTGGAAGACTATGTTGGAAAAAAAAAAAAGCTAAGCTTCTACCTGTATTAGAAGTCCTGAAACTGAAACATTCACCTTATTTATTGAATGACCCTCATATCTATAGCACACACTTACAGACACACTCATGAACTGATCCATGAACATATTTGTGAAAAAACATTACATTTAGCATTTTAACAGGTTTCGACCCAACGCTAGAGAGCAACAAACAATGGAAACTATGTACTAGAAAGCTTGATAAGCGAGATTAAAAAAAGCACAGGAAATCAAAGTCTAACTGATTTAAGTACATCTGATGATAAGAAGTTTGGAAAGTGAATGAATATTTAACAGTAATGAAGAGATACCATTTTTGTGATTTAGCGACAAGAGAAATTGTCTCCTGTTCTCCTTCCACCAAATTTTGCAATTACCTCAAGCAGAAAACCATTGACAACATACCCCTGATTCCAAATATTTCTGCTGCAGAGAATATAGGCCAAGGATGGGATCAAGACACATGATTCAAGATTAAAGGCGCTCCCAAAGAATTTCAGCAACAGAATTGCGGGCCCATCTTATGCATCACACAGATATTGGTCGCAGTACTCCATGATTAAATCATTAATCACTATTTAATGCTGAAATAATGAAATAAAGAGTTTTGAGGGTTTTTTTGAGACAAAGGATGACATTGTATTGAACAAACCAACCCTGAAATTACATTATTTTGCGTTATAGTCACCTGCACTAAAGAATTCGCTCAAGGGCTTCCCCCTTGAGTGAAAAGTTGGCGGAATGTGTGACTGCTTTCTGTGTTGGGGACTGTCAACAAATAACAAGGTGTGGAGTCGCATATGAGGGACAAATCATCATAAATCAATTACGATTTTTTTTCCCCCTTTTTGAATGCAGTAGTAGGGGGAAATGGTACAGCTAAAAATGTGCTCTCTCTCATTATGGAGAAATAGGAGTTATTAACGCACAAAAAAAGTCAAGAAGTGACAAAATTATTCACCAACAATCAATTAAAACATCTTTTCTCATTCTGATTGCTGTAATAGCAATGGTATTGCATGAATTGCCTACAGCTCAAATTTTCATCATACATGTCATTTTCGAGAAGAGCCATTAAAAAGGATCAACCTTGTCTTAAATTGACAAATACATTCACCAAAAACCCAATTAAAACATCTTGTTTCATTATGATTGCTGTAGTTGATGAGAATCGTAGGCCACAACTCATTACAGGTCAAAGTGACATCATGTCTGTCTTTATCTATCTATGTTTGGAGAAGTAGGTGGGATTTAATGCATGAAAATAGTCACAAATTGATAAAAATATTCATCAAAATTGAATTAAAACATCTTTTCTCATTCTGCTTGCTGGAGTAAATGGCAACGGTAGCCCACTAAATACTACAGCTTAAATTTTCAACATATGTCATTTTGGAGAAGTAGGATTAATTTAAGGATGAACGTAGTCCTACAGTGATAAAAATAATGACCCCCTCAAAAAAATAAAAATAAAAATAAAAACACCTTTTCTCATTCCAACTGCTGTAGTTGATGGCAACGGTAACCCACTAATTACTACATCGCAAATTGTTATCATATCTCTCAGTTTGGAGAAGTAGGAGACATTTCACGGATGAAAAAAGTCACAAATTGACAAAAATATTCAGCAAAATTCAAGTACAACGGCTTTACTCACCCTCATTGCTGCAGTACATAGCAACGGTAGCCCACTAATTACTACAGCTCAAAAGTGTCATCATCTCTCTCATCATGTTGAAATAAGAGACATTTAATTCTCCTGACCTGTATGTACAGGATGGGATATCGGTCGGGGGTGGGGACGTTGTTCAGGCGGCGGAAATCGCCACAGTGGCAACAACTGCCATAAGCTTTAGCCACCAAATGCAGGGGGGAAGCATATGGGCTGTTCGAGCGGCAGACGATGCCAAGCCGTTCCATGGCGAACTCCTCTTTGGCGATCTCAAGCTTGGCTGAGTTGAGCTGCCATGCACGAGCATAGGTTGAAGGGACTGCAGTGGTGATGTGGTGCTCCACACTGTGCTTAGCCACAGCTGTGGAAAGCGTCGGCTTGGTAAGGTCAGGGAACTCACCAAGCAGGCTTTGATACAGATCATTGGTAGGTATGTGTTTGACAGGCAGAATGTGCATGGCCCTCCAAGCGTGCAGGGGTACATGGCAAAAAGAGACGGCATCCATGAGGTGGCAGTTTGCAACATCCAGAGGTCGATTAAACGCACAGAGAAAGTCCACACCCAGCAGTAGAATGAGAGACCAGCTGGGTCCAGTACAGTCAGCATCCTTTCCATAAATTCGGATGGTTTGCCCTACCTGAGGCCATTGAGGGACAGAAGTCGGTCTGCCTTCTCCAGTTCGGACAGGTCAAATGATCAGCTCATCAGCAAGCTCTGCAGGAGACTGATAATGACACTGATCATTTGAATCAGGAGTGTTCCAGCAGGGCGAGATGGAAAACATGCAGGATAGCGGCCCTCAAGGACTCGAGTTGCACACCTGTGCTCTAAAGGAATGACTTGAGGGCATTGTACTTGCCAATAGCTGGTGGAGCCTCCAGTAACGGGTTCGCGTTGGCTGTCATCGAGGCATGAAACACTGCCACCACATGCAAGTATTTCATGTGATCCTATGTTGTTCCTCTGAGTTGGAACTGGGCGTCATTGTGCTGACATCACAGCCGTGGGTTGTGTGGTCAAATATGTGGGCAAGTTGACCATTGCGGGTTACATTGAAACCTGTCCTTTTTGCTCAAGTCTGGGTCACCTATTGTGGAGATGCTGTCAATGACGAGATGAGGAGACAAAGGCAAGTCATGTCTCTTTGACTCGCCACACGAAATTTAACTATTCACAAAGTAAGCAAAAAGCTACTGCTCTTCAACCCGTTGATCTCTATTGCCCCTTCGATCAAAGAAATGTCATCCTGCCACCACTCCCTTAAATACTGTATAAAGGTCGTTGGTGGATTTCTATCCCTTGTGGGTCACTCACCACAGGGCTACCATTGCCAACTTCTCCAGCAATCAAAGTGAGAAAATGTGTCTTAATGGATTTTTGGTGAATATTTTTCTGACTTAAATATCTCCTACTTCTCCAGAGTGTGATAATTAGTAGGCTACCATCCCTATCTGAAACAGCACTCGGAAATCGGAATGAGAAAAGGTGTTTTCATTGATTTTTGGTGAATGTTTTTGTCAACTTATGACTATTTTGGTGACATAAATGCCACCAACTTCTCCACAATGACACATACGATGTTAATGTGAGCTGTAGTATTTACTGGCCCACCAATGCTATCTACTACAGCAATTAGAATGAGAGGTGTATATTGATTTTTGCTTCAGATTTTTGTCAATTTATGACTATGTTTGTCCTTCAAATGGCTCCTTCTTCTCCAAAATGACAGGTATGACAATTTGAGATGTAGTAATTAGTGAGCTATTGCTCAGGCTGAACCAGCAGGACGGACGTGCTTCGGCGCACGGAAGGAGAAATTCGAAAAGGCTTTGCGAAAGTGACGATCGGCATTGACAAGCACCACAGATAACTTTAAAAGGCCTTGCTTTTGAGGAGGACGAGTACCGATAGCGGATAGCGTGGTTTTGAACATCCGTCGTTTTGAGGGAAATCAGTCATCCCGGACGAAACGCTAGCTCGCTAGCACGGAAGCTAACCGCGGACGTTAGCACGGAAGCTAACTGCGGACGTTAGCACGGAAGCTAACTGCGAACAGACGCTACGCAGCTGAAACCCACCACCAGAGACCAACCAGCCGAACGCCAGCGAGCGTGAGGGAGCCGGCAAACCCACTTGCCACGTCAGCAACACCCAGCAGCAAGACCACTGGACACGTCACCAACTAGCATACAACCGGCTAGCAACGAGACCCGACAAAATGCCACCCAAACAGAAGCAAGACACAAAGCAGGATGAGGACTTCCTGACCCTCACTCAAGTAAACGAATTACTCCAGCAACAAAAAGAGCTTTTTACTGCGCTCTTGCAACAACAACAGGAAAATTTCAAAGGATTTGTCAAGATGATAATCGACTCAACAAACTCACGACTTGACACTTTTACCAGGGAAGTCCAAGAAATAAAAACCAGCATCAACTTTACCCAAAAAGAGGTAGACGACATGAAAAAAAATCTAATCGGCAAAACTGGCCATTCCAAAGACATGCAAGCAGAAATCTACAAAATATGCGACGGCATGCTAGCATTAACAGACAAGATGGACTACTTGGAAGGACAGTCAAGAAGAAACAACTTGGTAATTGATGGAATTGAGGAAACACCGGGAGAAACGTGGACTGAAACAGAGGAAAAAGTTCAAAAAATCCTCAAGGAAAAGCTGCTGTTACAGGGACAAATTGAGGTGGAGAGAGCTCACCGCACAGGAAGACATGAACCTGGAAGACCTCGACCAAGGCCAGTTCTGGTGAAATTTCAAAAATACAAGGACAGAACAAGGATCCTACAAAAAGCAAAATACTTAAAAGGCTCCAACATCTACATCAACGAAGACTTTACAGATACCGTACGACAAAAAAGAAAAGAGCTCCTCCCAAAATTAAAAGCTGCACGTGACAGAGGGGAAACTGCCTACTTAAGACATGACAAACTTATCGTCCACCCTCGCACCAGTACTCCAACACAACAGGCTCGAGTTCAACACCATCAAGCGGCATACTGAGAACTGTTCACCACCCGACGACAAAAACT